GTACGATCACTTCCACCAGAGTCTCACTTCCCACTTCCCTTTAAACTGCCTGCTCCTGGCCGACAGCAGGACCCCAGACTCAAGTCTGTTCCCTCCACAGAGTGCACAGGAAGTGCTTCCTACATGTTTCTCATTGAAAGAGAGAGGTAAGTCCCATCCCAGACCTAGGAGCACCCACCCCTCCACACCCCTCCCCCCCCCACACACACACACAAAACGAAACTTGGGTGAACAATGGATGCCCATCCTCTGTGTGTGGGGAGGAGTCCGTGCTGGGGCCATAGAAAAGAAAGGACCTTGTGGGAAGGGCCAAGTGGATCCACCTGCTGCTCAAATAGACCATGTTTCAGAATTACCATCATGAACACTGGAACGGGGTCAACAGAGTCTGATGGAGCAAACACTGGGCACAAGAGACAAAGAGGAATAAGACTCAATCCCTGCTCTAGGGGAGCTTGATACCATCTTCCGTCTTCCAGTAACTTTCAGGGTGATCTTGGGCCAAATAATTCTGCAATATGGAGAGGGGGAGATCGTGCCCCTTCTCCTTTGCCCACCTGCCCTGAGCCCTGGCAGGGAAGCTCATGCTGATGGGCAGACATCACTGCATTGTGCCCGGGGCCCTCAGGGGGATGGGATGGGGCCAGGAGCAGCATCAGTCTTTACCCCAGTGGCTGTGAAAAGCAGTTCATTTTCTAGGAGAGCTAAGGCATGGCAATGGTAGGGAAGCCGTGCCTACGCTATCTAGTGAGAGGTAGTTAATACAACTGAGGAGCTCCAATTCTGGGCCCAAGGGAGGCACTAACTGCTTTTCCCGAGAGAGGTTTGTGACTGCATAGAACTACTAAGAACCCAAAAGGCTGCCTCCAACTCCTCACCTTGAAGAAGGAGGCAAAGGGCCTGCTAGTTTGAGACTGGGGCCTAAGAGACAAGGATCTAAAGACCACAGCTCTCTCTGGTTTCCCAAAGGCTTTCCTTACAGGACAAGGAGGAGAGGAACCTGCCAGCCTCTGGGATCCAGCCCCTGGCCTGTGGCTGAATCCTGCCCCCAGCAAGAGGCTGGCTGTGGGGAGAGCAAGGGGAAGAGCCTGCTCTGAAAGCTTTTCTCACCTCTCTCTCCCTCTTTTTCGATCTCTCACTCCCTCTGTGCTCCCCTGACTGCCTCCTCCTTGGCCCCCCACATTCACACCTTTTCTGGTTCATTTCAGATGACAAAGTTCCTCTTTCCAAAAAGCCCCATCCCCCAAGAGTCCTTTCTGCAGAGACATCATCCTTTCCCAGCTGAGTAGGGGGGCTGTCCCACAGCGGCCCCCAGGGGCATGACAGGCCATCTGAGCACATGACTCCACTTACCCTGTGAGAACCCCTGAAAAGTTCCCATTACAAGCTCTCATCCCCTGACCCATCCCTTCTCCCCCTGAAGATCCCAGCCCAATCCTTTCAAGACCCCAAACTTATCAGGAATATCTCAGTGCTCCTCCCCACCCTCCCTGCAATAGAATCCGAAACATGTGCCTTAACAGAGCTGGGAGGAATGTAGAGATCGGTTATCCAGTGCAGCCCCTACCAGAAGCCCAGGAATGAGAGCGCAAAGCCCCGAGTCACATAGATAATTTGTGGCATAACACCAAACCCCGGATTCCTGGATCAGGGCTTGTACTTTCCCTAATGTTTCCAAGTCTCCCCTTCTATTTAACTTCTTTCTTCCCTCCCTGCTCCAGCCCAGCCCAGCCTGGCCCTGAACTCTCATCCTCTTGACAATCCTCATCCCTGACCCCTTGCAGTTCTTCACTGCCTTGGAGGGGGGCTCTCCAGGACCAGCAAAAGTATTTTGTAACAGGACTTCCTCCTTCAGTCACCAGACTCTCCCAAAATCTTGAGGAGAGTTTAGTCAATGCTCAACCGCTTAAAGTATGATAAAAAAAAACACCCCAATTTAACATGATTATAATGAGTTAGTTTGAGCTTAGGCACAAACAGGTGTTTAAAATGGGCATATATGAATGGCTGGGAGAGGATCCTATGACCTCTGAGACAGCAGTGGCACTGGAGCTCAGAGTGGTGTAGTTGCCATTCCACCTACTGGGAGCCCAGGGAATGTTGGTCCCCTTGACCTCCCTGAGTGCTATAACCCCTTACTGTCCTGGATGGGGGCCCCTCCTCTACCCCATGCTGGGTCCCAGGGGTAAAGGGGGGCAACGCTGCAGCTAGCCTTTCTTCTCCTCATTGCCTTCACCAGTTCTATACCCAGCTCTCCTCTTATCCACATCTGCCATCTCATTTCTTTCTGACAGCCATAATGGGGACAAAGAGCAAATTAAGAGTAGTAGCTTTGGCCTGGCCAGCGTGGCTCAGTGGTTGAGCATCAACCTATGAACCAGGAGGTCACGGTTCAATTCCCAGTCAGGGCATGTGCCCAGGTTGCAGGCTTGATCCCCATTGTGGAGTGTGCAGGAGGCAGTCAATCAATGATTCTCTCTCATCATTGATGTTTCTGTCTCTCTCTCCCTTCCTCTCTGAAATTAAAATTTTAAAAAAGTAGTAACTTTGGAGTCATAGGCTCTAAGTTCAAATGTCAGTTCAGCCACTTCCTGGCTAGGTATCTTCCAACTAACTATTCAGACTCTTTCCAATGCCTTACATTCTTTATTTAAAAAAAAATGTTGCTTGCCCCGCCAATGTGATTCTGTGGTTAAGCACCAACCTATGAACCAGGAGGTCACAGTTCAATTCCAATCAGGGTCCCAGAGGCCCAGGGTGGGGCGGGGGGCGGGGGGGAGGGCCTGCAGGAGGCAGTCAATCAATGATTCTCTCTCATCATTGATGTTTCTATCTCTCTCTCTTTCTCCCTTCCTCTCTGAAAGCAATAAAAAAAAAAAAAATTTAATGTTGAAGGGGCAGTCCTAAAAGCTTCCTCATGGTATTGTTTTTGTAAAGAATGAAGAAAACGAAGTATGTCCCCAGGGCCCCCATCACCCCATCTTCTGTGGGTACAGAAGCTCTGCAAGCCTGAAGCCTCCAGCAGTCCCCAAAAGAGGCTCAGCTCCAGCTCTGAGCCTGGAGCCCCACCCTCCAAATCCTTGTGGCTGTCAACAATAGGTCCCTTCTGCAAGCTTTCAGGCAAAACCCACCTAGCTTAGAGCTGGCTGTCATTACCAAAGAAGTGGTAGTGCCATCTACCAGGGAAGGCTGGCCAGGGAGAGTCCACCAGTGACCTACCCATCTCCCGTGTGGCACCCCCAAATGGAAAGCAACTGAAGACCCTTGAGAGAACTGTCACTCAGGAGTAATCCCACCAGGGTGGGCCCTGTACATAGGTACCTGGTGCAATTTGAGGAACCCCAGACACTCTCTGTGCCCAGATCTCCCACTCTTTGTCACTGAGCCTGATATCCCACAATCAGACCTCATTCCACCAGCATTTATGAGCACCTACAATTTTCTAGGCATCCTGCTAACCATTGGGCTTAAATCCATTGGGTTGTGTATTACCCTCTCTAAGCATTTTCTTTTGAAATGCAAATACCCTTGGAGAAGGGCAATGCATTAAATCACTAATACCCCTAAGTTAGTTGGGGGTTTCTTTCTTTTAAAAACAGTAGAGAGCCGAAACCGGTTTGGCTCAGTGGATAGAGCGTCGGCCTGCGGACTGAAGGGTCCCGGGTTCGATTCCGGTCAAGGGCATGTACCTGGGTTGCGGGCACATCCCCAGTGGGAGGTGTGCAGGAGGCGGCTGATCAATGTTTCTCTCTCATCGATGTTTCTAACTCTCTATCTCTCTCCCTTCCTCTCTGTAAAAAATCAATAAAAAATATATTTAAAAAAAAAAAAAAAAAAACAGTAGAGAAAGCCTGGGCATCTTTAGCAAAAAGGGAAGCTAAAGTTCAGAGGGCAGAGGTGACTACGGAGCTAGAAGCAAGGCAGCAACAATCTGGCCTTTTTTTGTGGTTGATGTCTAGGGCCACATCTCCCCCTTCCCAAACACACCCACTGCCCCCACAAGCAGCCACGGTGCCCATAAGTGCACCTGGTAAAGCTAGCCAGATTCCGGAGAGCAGCCAGAGGCTGGGCGGCCTTGGCCCTGCTGCAGAGGGGTCTGGCCTGCCTTTCACCATCTCCAGGGTGAGGATGCCCTGAACTAGTGCCTACTCGCTCCCCAACAAGTCCAGGGCTTGGAGTTCAGGTAATTAAGCCCTTGGCAATCTCACCTGGGCCCGCCAATAAACCAGACAATCAACCCCAGCCCCTGTTCAGGAGGGAGAGAGAAAAGAAGGAGGGCAGGAAGGAGAGAAACTTTTTTCTATGCTGCATTCAAGGCTTGGCAACCAGAAGGGAAAAATGCTATTAGTCTACAAACAGCCACTCCAAATACCCCACTCCATACCCAGGGTCTTCCCCTCCTGCCACAGAACCCTGGTCTCCATCTGCCACCATCATCGGGGTGACAGAGGACACCTGTGTGGGCTGCAGCCTGAACAGGAGCCAGGCAGTGAGGGCCTATACTTGCAGAGACAGGCTTTCCCCAGCATGGCTCCTTCCACGGCAGAGGAGGGAGGGAAGGGCACCTGAATCCCCCACCCTGAAAGCCACAGCCACCCTCCAAAAATGTCTAGAAGGGTGCTCCAGGTGCTCTCTTTAGAGCAACTGAGTGACTTCTTCGTACCCTGCTGATTTCACCGCCAGCTCCTGAGGGTCCAGTCTGCCTGGGCTCCTACAGAAGACCATTCCTTAAGCATCTCTACTTTGGTGCAGTGCCCAGCAGGTGCCTGGCACTCAAATAGAACTTCCCTTCCCCCCCCCCTAAATAATAAACATTAATAGTTCTGGTATATGATCACACTGATATGGGATGGAGTTCCATACCTGGCACTTTTTACTCCCTATATCACTTACTCCTAAGACACACATGAGGAAAAGGCTTTTCTGTCACATGGTAGGGTCGGGGAGAATACAACTGAACAGTAATAATTGTCATTTAGTGAGTGCTTGCTAAGGGACTAGCTAGCCTAAGTACTCTGAGGATTAAGTTAATTTTTTCTAAAATACTATTATTATCCCAATTTACAGACAAGGAAACTGAGGCTAAGAAAGAAATTTGTCCAAGATCACACTGAAGTTTTAATGAATACTTATTTAATTTAATTGAAGACTCCCATTTCATGTCAAGAACTAGTAGGAAGGAGGGAGAAGACATTTGTATCCCCCCCAAAAAAAAACTATCCAATCTCACCAACATGTAAACAGGCCCCGGGGAACCCGGCAAGTCCTACTCGCTCTTCACCTTGCGCGTGACAAGTCCAGCTAGCCTAAAAGTCTCTGGGCCGCCTCTGGAGAGGTTACACTCCTCCACCGTTTGGCCCTTGGGGGGTTCCTGGAAACTCTCAAGGATCTCAAACGTTCCCATTGCCTTTCCTAATGCGGGTCTCAATTGAACAAAACTGGGGGTTCTAGTTTCTCACTCTCCTCCCCTGAGGAGAGGTTTCAACAGGTGGGGAGCAGGTGCATCACTGTAGAGTCCTCCGGAGTTGAGCTGAGAAGCCTGGAGGTCTCTTAATTCCCTCCCGCCACCCCCGCAGGCTGAGCTGTGCCTCTCGCGGGGAAACTGGGGCACTGCAGTCAATATGGGAGCCTGCAGTTCGCCCAAGGCCGCGGACCTCTTGGAGCCTCCGGGCCTGGCCCGCAGGAACCCGCGGAGAACCCCCGCCACCCCTGGGTCACGCCCAGCAGGAGGCGCCGCAGAGGGACCAGGTCTGGGGCTGGAGCGGCCGAAGCTCTCTGCTCAACGCCGCTCCCCGCTTCGCCCCTTCTGCCAGGTCCGTGGCCCACTGGCCGGAGCCGCTGGCTAATATTTCATGCCCCCAGACTGCCTCCCTAGGTGACGCTACAGCCTGTGTGGTTCCTTTAAAGGCTGCGGGTTCCGCTCATCTTTCCTTTTCCACTGGATGCCAAAATATGCAAATCCGGGGACCGGAATCAGCAGCCAAATCAAGGAGAAGGGGCGCGGCCGACGCGTCACCGGATCCGCTCCTTGTATGGCTCTTCCCGGCTTGGCCCGCCGCCCCGCGACCCTCCCTGCAGCCGCCAGAGCCCCTCCTGCGCCCAGCCCAGCTCTCACTGCCGCCCACGTCCCCGGGCCCGCCGCCCGCCCCCCAGGGAGGGAGCCGGGGGCGGCAGGCGCTGCACGCCCTGATTCCGGCCGGAGCCCGGACCGCTGCAGAGCTGTCGCTCCCCGCGCCGCGCGGGCGGAGGAGAGCCCGGGGGCACAGTGCTTCCCGGGTTTAGGTTGGGGAGCCTGGCGAGCGTGGCGGCAGGGGCGGGGGAGAAGGGGTTCACGGGCAGCGGGAATCCCTCCTTTCCTAAGAACTCGAGAAGATCCGGGGGAGACTGGCCCCTCCCACTCCCAGTTCTCCGCGGAGTGAAATGGAGGGGAGGAAAGCGAGGTTGTCATCCACCCCCACCGCTATGTGCAGCTCGGGAGTTCCTCCCACGCGTTCCCCGGCCCGCGTGGCCCTCCCACGGCGTGAGGCTCGGGGATCCTCTCTGCCTCCTTGTCAACACTCCTACTCCCCCTGAGAAATGCACGTCTCCCCCAACCCGACTCCCCAGCGGGGGACACGGGATTCACCGCACCCACGCGGCCACTGAGGAGGGAATCCTCCCACGCCAAGCCAGTGTGATTCGGGGTCGCTCCCCCACGCTCCCTTCCTCTCCTCCCCTTTCCCCGGGCCTGGCCGCGCGCGCTCCAGGAGCAGGCCTCGGGGAACATATCAGCCGCCCCCGGGATCTGCTGCTACGGGAGGTGACAGCTCTCGGGTTGGCAAACAGGCGGCCTTTGACTGCAGGGCGTCAGGGACAGCCCTGTAGAGGGCGATGGTTAGGGTAGAGACGAGGGGAGGCCGCCGGGAGGCCAGCCGAGTGTCAGACTGTGAGCTCGGCAAGGTCCTGCAGCGACTCCGTGGCGGGCCCTTCCCAGGCAGCAATAGACAGCGGCTGCGCCCAAGCCTGCTAGGCCCTCCTGCCATTCCCTGGCCAAAGGGATGCTTGGGAACCGTTAGCGAATTAGTCGAGGATTTGGTGCACGTGTTTCCTATCCGCTCAACTTCATTTTTTCTTCTTCAACAACAAAACCACACATCCTCGACCCCAAATGTGTGGGGTTCTCGCCTCCCGCGCAGCCTCTTTGCAGCTACGACTCTCCCCGCCAGGGCACTCAACCAGGAGTCGGCGCAGGGGGCACAGGGAGCGGCAGGAGTGTGGGCGGTGAATCAGAGAGATGGAGGTACAAAAGTTCTCGGCATTTGGGACCAGGTGTCTCTGACTCTGGAATCCTTCTCCGCGGAGGGACGTGCTTCCTTTCTCCCGGTCTCAGGCAAGGTCCTGGGCCCGAGAAGAGCAGCGGAGGAGAGTCGGTTGGAGCAGTGTCGGAGTGCACGCCTTCCGGGTTCCCCACAAGTTCCCAGGCTGCAAAGGGACGTTGCCCGGGGTTTTCAATTCTCATTCTTCCTGCTACGGGTGTTGGAGCAAACCTCCTCCCGCCGCCCCCCCGCCCCCCCCCACACACACACACACTCGCGTCCGCGCCCCCACCCCACCCCGCTGTCCCAGAGGGTTCTCCTCGTGCAGACCCAAAATAAACATACAGGCAGTTATGGCTTTTTCAAATGCGCGCTACGTGCTTTACGCTTTGCGTTCAGTTGCATCCCTCTGTCCTCTCTCCTCTCGAATTGTCCTTTCTTCTCTTCTATTTCTCTTTTTTCAAGATCCGCGAGCGGTGCGGACGCCGCACGCTGGCGGCCGCCCGCTTCCTGCTTTCTAATGTTCCATTGTGAGGAGCTTCCATTGTGACGTCGCGCCCCTTCGGCTGGGCTTTGTCTGTCCATATATGGGCAGCTACGTCACGGAGCTTTCCCGGGGCTCAGATAAATAGGCTGGTGGAGTTCCCTGGCTGGGAGCTTTTGGGCAGCAGTGAGCTTGCTAGGAAGCGGCGGGGCTGGTGGTGGTGGTAGCAGCAGCAGCAGCAGCAGCGGCAGAGGCAGCGGCAGTGGCGGCGGTGGCGGCGGTGGCAGTGGTGGATCGGGGGGAGGGGGGGGCCCGGCGCGCGTCTGTTTGTAAGATCCATACTGAAGCCGCGTCCGACCCCCTCCACCGAGACCCCACCCCATCCCAGACCCCAACCCACCCCCCCGCACACGCCCCCCCACGCGACCCAGCCTCATAGGGCACCCGCCAGGCAACCAAGAAGATTACCCCCCTTTGCCCTCTCTCCCACCCACCCCCCAAAAAGAGAAGATCCCCTCCTCTGGCCCACCCCTTCCCCTTTTCCCTCTCTCCTCCCCCCCGAACTTTCCCTCTCGCATGCTTTTCCCCTGCACCACGGATCGCCTCTCGGATGCCGCTCGCCTGGAAGCTGCGTTAGGAGAGAGCGGCGGCGGCGGCGGCGGCGGTGGCGGCGGCGGCAGCTCGGGAGTGCTATGACCGGCAAACTCGCCGAGAAGCTGCCGGTGACCATGAGCAGTTTGCTAAACCAACTGCCTGACAATCTGTACCCCGAGGAGATCCCCAGCGCACTCAACCTCTTCTCCGGCAGCAGTGATTCCGTAGCCCATTACAATCAGATGGCTACAGGTAAGGGCGGCGGGGAGGCTGCGAAGCAGCGAGGGAGGAACGGGAGAGGAAGAGGAGGGGGAACGAGCTAGCTAGCGATGGATGGAAGGAAGGAAGGATGGATGGATGGATGGATGGATGGATGGAGAGATGGGGGCGCGCTGGGAATTTTCCAGGGGGCGAGTTGCTTTTCCCACCCACTCCCCGCCCCCCGCCCTCTCGGATAGGGAAGGCTCGGTTGGCTACGCCACGGTAGAGGCTTCTGTTCTCCCGGGTGGGGGCAGCCGCCGACCGGAGGGAGGTAGGTGCTAGCGGCCCTGGGGTTCTCCACTCAGGGGGCGCGATCGCCGGGCTGCACGCAAGGCGTGGTGCCGTCGTCCCCTTTCCCAGGAGGAGCCGAGCGACCCTTTCACCCGCGCTCTCTCCCCTTATTCCCTCAGCCCCCCACCCGGGATGGAGCCGTGTGCGGCGTGGAGTCCCCGCGGTGGGAGAGGTACTGCGACGCTGCCTTTTCGGGGCGTTCAGCAAACCCGTGGGGGTGTGGGGACGGTGGGGAGAGGGTCCACCCACGACGGGGCTGCCCCGGGGGGCGGGGGAGGGGGCGATCCTTGGGCCGAAGAGCTTGGGAAGAGCGGCCACTCCCGCCGTGGAGACATCGGCCGGTTTTCCGCCGCCCTCCACCCTCCCTAGCTGGGGCTGGGCTTTCTCCCTCCAGCAAGAGCCTAAAGCTTCTTCAGGCCCGGGGGAGACTGGGCCGGGGTGGAGGCGGCGGGCGAGCTCCCTTTGAGGGCAGCACCCCTCTACGCGCGGAGCACAAAGGGTCGGAGCTCTCCGGGTCAGCGACCCGGGGGCAGTGCACGAGGAGGGCTTCGCCGGGGCCGGCAAGGCGCGGCGTCCTGGCGCGGACAGGTTAGGGGAAGAGGCCGAGTTGTGTGCGCTAGAGAGCGAGAGCCCGGCGCGCTCCCGGTCCGAAACTACCTGTAGCTGCAGCTACCTGCCTGCCCCACCTCGAAACAACAATGCTTCTAGCTCGCGCGCGCTCGCGCGCGCGTGTGTGTGATACGTGAGTGTGTGCGCGGCGTGTGCGGTGTGTGTGCAGCAGCCACTCCACGCCCGATCCGTAGTATTTTGCTGTATCCAGGTTGCGCCCCGGAGCGCGGCACCGCCCGCTTTGCGCCGGGCGCAGCTTTTCCTCTTACCCCACGCGCTGCGCACTCCACCCGGCTGCACTCTCCTGGGCGCCCCGGCCCTGGAGCCGGCCGGGCTTCACTCACCCCTCCCCTCTCCCCTCCGCTCTCCGCAGAGAATGTGATGGACATCGGCCTGACCAACGAGAAGCCCAACCCGGAACTCTCTTATTCGGGCTCCTTTCAGCCAGCTCCCGGCAACAAGACCGTGACCTACTTGGGAAAGTTCGCCTTCGACTCCCCTTCTAACTGGTGCCAGGACAACATCATTAGCCTCATGAGCGCCGGCATCTTGGGGGTGCCCCCGGCCTCAGGGGCACTCAGCACGCAGACCTCCACGGCCAGCATGGTGCAGCCACCTCAGGGCGACGTGGAGGCCATGTACCCGGCGCTCCCCCCCTATTCTAACTGCAGCGATCTCTACTCAGAGCCTGTGTCTTTCCACGACCCCCAGGGCAACCCTGGGCTCGCCTATTCCCCCCAGGATTATCAATCGGCCAAGCCGGCCTTGGACAGCAATCTCTTCCCCATGATTCCTGACTACAATCTCTACCACCACCCCAGCGACATGGGCTCTATTCCGGAGCACAAGCCCTTCCAGGGCATGGACCCCATCCGAGTCAACCCGCCCCCTATCACCCCCCTGGAGACCATCAAGGCATTCAAAGACAAGCAGATCCACCCAGGCTTCGGCAGCCTGCCCCAGCCGCCGCTCACACTCAAGCCCATCCGGCCCCGCAAGTACCCCAACCGACCCAGCAAGACCCCACTCCACGAGCGGCCCCACGCGTGTCCGGCGGAGGGCTGCGACCGCCGTTTCAGCCGCTCAGACGAGCTGACGCGGCACCTGCGCATCCACACGGGCCACAAGCCCTTCCAGTGCCGGATCTGCATGCGGAGCTTCAGCCGCAGCGACCACCTCACCACTCACATCCGCACGCATACGGGCGAGAAGCCCTTTGCCTGCGAGTTCTGTGGGCGCAAGTTCGCGCGCAGCGACGAGCGCAAGCGCCACGCCAAGATCCACCTCAAGCAAAAGGAGAAGAAGGCGGAGAAGGGGGTGGCGCCTTCTGCGTCCTCAGCGCCCCCCGTGACCCTGGCCCCCGTGGTCACCACCTGTGCCTGAGGCTCGGGCCCCCAGATTCCCACATTTCCCCTCCAGTGTCTCCCTGCTGCTGCCCTAAAGCAGCGGGAGAGCTCGCCACGGAGGCGCAGGGGCCGCACTTGGGCCTCTCCATGGACGTAAGGCTCCTCGTCACTCTTGGACGTCCCGGTTTCCACCCTTTCACACCGGCCAACAGTCGGGGGCCAGGAGGCGCCTGCCTCTCGCTGTCTCCCACCCCCTTTAGCCACGGCGTGGAGGGGGAAAGAGTGGCGTCTAGCCCGCTTCGTTCAGTTCGGATCGTCTTGATCCAGGGGCCGCGGGGGCGAGGGGGGGCCACACCAAGGACTTGCGGGAGACTGAAGGCGGGGCCCACCCCAACCTCGCCTGACCTAAGCACCTCAATGGTCCCCGTACGTCTCCCTCGGTTCCCCCTCGAAGACCTGAGAGAGGGGAGAGGGTAAGAAGCGCACCAAAGCGCAGAGCTTGCTGCCTGCCGCACGCACGCCTGCGCGTGAGTGTGCGTGCTCGCGTGAGCGTGTGTGTGTGTGTGTGTGTGTGTGTGTGTGTGTGTGTCAGAATCTTGAGCTGAACTGGGCTATGTGCACCCCAAACTCTTCCCCACATCGAGTCCCTAGGCCTCTGGGGAGACTGTCCCAGGCTGGGTGCCTGCACGCGGCCAGATGAGACGGGTCTTCCATCTGCTCAGAAATAATGTTTCTTACAGAAATGCCTCGGATGCCACCGCGGCGGTGTGGCTACCGCCCCTTAAGCTTTGGCCCCTCAGAACCCCACTTTTTCTGAGCACTTCCCTATTAGGCCTCAGAACAGTTTGATCTGCAGGGAGAAGGAGCAGCTATCACTGAACCTGCCTTTTTTAAAAAATGTATTTCCTCAGCCTCACTTTTTAAAATCTAGGTCCTGAGTTTGCCCTCTGCCCTTCCCCCACCCTCTTCTCCCTTCTCCCCTCCAAGCCTTCTCCCATCTCTTTCAAAATCTTTTACCAGAAAGGCAGGCCTCAACCAGCCACCCCATTTCACCATCTTTTTGTTTTCTCTCTCTCACATATTCTTCTTCCCATTGGTGGTGGGAACGCAGGCTCATTTTTGCCCCTGGCCACCAAATAGGTAGACTTCAAATCTATGTATATGGTGTGTCTGTGTGTGTGTGTGTGTGTGTGTGTGTACAAACACATACACATACACATACATATAACATACACACAATATGTATTCCTAGCAAAATAAAATCTCTAAGGTACTTGGCCATCCAGTGCAGTGCACTGGAATAAAGAGGATTTGTAGGCATATACATCTTTAAATGATTTATTTTTTATGAAAATTTTAACTGATGAAATATCTATGTATGTGTGTATTATGTATGTATATACACAAATCTATGTATGTATGTATACATATACACACATACACATCTCTGTCCAAATTTTCCTTAAAACATATGGGGATTTTTGCATTAATCCATGTTGATTAATGAGGTGTATCTTTTTCATACCCCAATTTCACCTTCTTCCTGCCCTACCTCAACTCTTCTCAGGCACCCCTCCACCCCAGCCCTTCTCCACACAGGGGTGACTCTTTTGAAGTATAGTAGGAGGGAAGGCTGCTCTCTGACACAGCTTCCAGCACAGTCCTGACTGAATGTACTGTTCCCTATTCCCAGTATTTCTCCTGTGGTCAGTAAGCTGCCCAGAGAGAAGGAACAAAGGTCTGGAGTTTACAGAATGTCTGTTTTTAAAGTCACTTTATGCATTACCCACCTTTTTTTTTTTTTAAGAAAAAGAAAGCACTGTTTTTTCTTTGTTTTTTTGGTGGAGGAAAAATAATACGAAACGGAGTCCAGTGAGGGGGGATCAGAGAGCAGGGGGTTGTGGATTTCCAGGCACTTGGACTTTTTTGTAGAAGGAGAGAGAAGGGAGGGTGAAGTTTGCCAGGAGGGCTCATATTTTTTCAGCTGAGGGGTAAAATCTTTCTTTGCAGAGACAGTATTTTGCTGAATAGTTTTTATAATGTGATGATTATTAAAAGCAAAATTTTGGTCACTTCAAAGCCAGAAGGAGGAATCAAATATCCTTTAATATTTTTTCCTTGCTCCTC